ATGTATAATGAATGCTTTGAGAAATGGAGTAGGTGTTTGGCTTGTTTTTCTGTGGCTACTGTTAGTTTGCATGTCTAGGGAGGAGGACCCAGTATGTATAGGATAGCGACAGTATAAAACATTGTGAATATGTTCAGATGTGCCAGGCTCGGATTGTTATGCACATCTGTAAAACCCCACAAGGCCTGTGAGGAGTTGGCAAACATTTAAGGGCACAGCTAAGAAAAACAGCACTTGGCTGGGCACAATGGCTCATGCTTTAATCCCAGCACTTTGGAGAGGCCGAAGTGGACGGACACGGCAAGTCAGGAGATTGGGACCATCATTGGTTAAACACATTTAAACCCCGTCTCTACTAAAAATACAAAAAATTTAGCTGGGGCATGGTGGCACGCAGCCTGTAGTCCATCTTACTCAGGAGGCTGAGGCAGGAGAATCGCTTTGAACCCAGGGAGGTTGGAGGTTACGCAGTGAGCCGGAGATGGCGCCACTGCCACTCCGAGCCTGGGTGACAGAGGTGAGACCCCACTAAAAAAAAAAAAAAATGGAGGCCTGCGAATGGGGGATCGCGCTACAATTATGAGCCTGTAATACCCAGACATCTCTTTGTGTGACCGGCCGGATCGGTGGCGGCAGTTCGAAATACAAAGACTACATCCTATGCTCACATCGTGGTGTAGACCCTCCAGTCTAATCTACTATAAGAATATAAAATCAACACTAAGGCTGGGGCGTTGAGACTCAAGGCAAGACATGGTGGGCGGGTGCCTGCAGTCCCAGTCTACTCGGTGGAGGCTGCAGGCAGTTTGGAAAGAGAAATATGTGTGTCTAACACTGGGAGTGACTTGCTAGCTCGTACGTGTTATCCGAAGGACTGCACCTCACCGAGGCTAGCTGATGTATTGTTGGACCCAGAGCGAGACTCCGTCTGCTCAATAAACAAATATGAAATCCGAAACAAGGAAATAGGAAGAAATGTATTGAAAGTAGGCGAGGAGATTACAAAGTACATTGATCAGTTAGGTTGGGGAAGAAACAAATGACAATGGTGGAATGTCATCAGTTAAGGCTATTTTCCTTTCTTTTGTGGATCTTCAGTGGCTTCAGGCCATCTGGATGTTTACGTGCAGGTCACAAGGGATATGATGGCTTAGCTTGGGCTCAGAGGCCTGACACTTCAGTTATGACTGGTTGTGATATGTTTTAATTAGAGATGATGGAGATTTGCCTAGTGTGATAATCCCTCAGTTGGATGAATATCTAGTGTGTGGCAGTCACTATTTCAGAAACTGATGAGTGTTTGTTAAGGGTTATTCTTTTTAAAGTCCTGTGGATCTGAGAAACTTCCATGACTTAAGAATTTATCTAGAATGTTACTTTTTTTTGTTTTTTTTGAGATGGAGTCTCGCTCTGTTACCCAGGCTGGAGTATAGTGGCGTGATCTTGACTCACCTCAATCTCTGCCTCCCAGGTTCAAGAGATTCTCCTGCCTTAGGCTCCCAAGTAGCTGGGATTACAGGTGTGCACTACCCACGCCCAGCTAATTTTTATTTTTTAGTAGAGATCGGGTTTCGCATGTTGGCCGGACTGGTCTGTCTCAGAGAACAGAACACAAAGCCTGTTCTAGTGCCTGTCCTAGAATGTTACTTAAATGAACTAAGCTGTGGGATGTGGCCTAAAAGGTAAAGCCAGGCAGTTTCTCAATACAAACAGTCTGGGTTCTAGAAGTCTCTTGTTGTTAGAGTTAAGGAGTAACCTCAGTGCCCATGATGCCCAGGGAAACCATAAGATAAAACAGACCTTGGGCCCGAAGGTGGCTCAACGCTGTTAATCCAGCCTTTGGGAGGCCAAGGGGGGCGGTTCGCGAGGTTAGGAGCTCGAGACCAGCCTGGCCAACATAGTGAAACACCAACTCTACTAAAAATACAAAAATTAGCCGGCATGGTGGCGCATGCCTGTAATCCCCATCACTCGGAGGCTGAGGCAGAAAATTGCTTGAACCCTGGAGGTGGAGGTTGCAGTGAGCCGAGATTGTGCCACTGCACTCCAGCTTGAGCAACAGAGTGAGACTTCATCTAAAAAAAAAAACCAAAAAACAAAATAAAAAAAGTAAAAAGCCCTTGGTTGTGTCAGAACCACACCTTGAGGTCTGTTGGGGCAGTGTGGAGGTTTAGGGGGAGTTGTTCCGTTACATCCGTGACTCTCTGGGGCTCCAGCTGTAGGGACACCCTTCAGCCTATGAAGGGTCATCTTCTTCGTCCGTGCCGTGCTCCCTGCTGGTCTGTCCCACTCCCGAGTTTCTGGGTCTCCTTGACTGGACCCTGCTGGTCTGAGCCGAGGAGGGACCATCCCGCTACCTGTGTCCTGATTTGAAGCAGTGGGCTCTAAAATATCTCCAGGAAAGACTGGGGTTTGCTGTGGGGTGTGAGGGACATGCCACTTATCAGGTTAAGAGAATTTTCTGATCTTTGATTGCCTAAGGTTTTATTTTTTTGAATCAGGAGTCTGTCGTTCGTCACCCAGGCTGGGTGCAGTGGGCACAATCGTTGGCTCTCTGCAACCTGCCGTCCTCTTGGTGCAAGGGCAATTCTCGTAGCCCTCTACCTCCCTGAGAGGACTGGTGAGTACAGGTGCGTGCCATCACACCAGCTAATTTTTCTTTCTTTTTTTTTTTGAGACAAAGTTTTCACTCTCTGTTGCCCAAGTTGTAGCTGCATGCAT